TTACGCTGATAAAGTTTGTGTTTTTATTCATCTTCTAAAAAATATACAATTCTTTTCATTTTTTGTACTCTTTGTACACTAATTTCTCAAATATTTGATTGCAATATTGACATATAAAAAGTTTACAATTGTTGCATTACATTCGTGATACAGGGGTAATATCAAGTAATGAAAGTGCATTTTGAAGCACAATTTGTAATGCATATAACATATACAATCTTGCAATCATTGTTGGAATCAAATGATCATATGCTTCCTATAACAAAACAACAGTATATAATTAATAAATTATTAATCACATAATAGAGGTTACAATTATGTTAGGAATATTAAGCAAGAGTAAAACTCACAGTTAAAATTCTAATTCTGTGATAATAAATACTAAATTTTTGACATAGTCTTGATAGAAATATACATATAACTTGTGGATTTGTTTGAAAAATAGGATCCAATTTCAAGCAATCTTTTATCATTTCTTGATATCCAATAATGAAGTTATATACAAGTTCCCATTCTTCCTGCAATAAAGGTGTTGATTCATAACTTTTTTCTTTACTAATTGATTAACAGAATCTTTCAAAGACAATACCTCTTGTTTCAATAAAGAGAAATCTACATCATTAATGTGTACTAAGTTAGGATATTCTCCTCTTAACCTTTTGTCATTATATTTGTCAATAATTGCTGTTATTCTTGCTGCATTATATAATATAAAGGATGCACCTAAAAACTGATAATGATAGAAATTGTTTCTTTTGTGATTCTAGTATATCCATCTAAAATTGTAAGTTGCAAGAACCTTTTGTATTTGTGGGACTTTTGTCAGTTGCAAAATTGCATCCAATAAGAACAGGTCTACTTGGTTTTGCAGACAGCAGTTCAAATTTAACTGTTGCTTGTGCAATCTTTTCTAGGAAATAGTCTTCTGCTTTCATAGTGCATTCTTGTGCTTCGAAATACTTCTGTTCATTTAGCTCTTTTAATTCTTCAACTTTGTTTTTGATATATTCCTGCCATTTCAGATTTATCTCTTTACAATTTGTTTCTGTATTTTTCACAACACCACATACATACTTCTCATAATTCTTTTCCATATTTCCTTGTGACTTGGTGGTAAATATAAATTTACGATCAGAATGCTCTTCTGATACTTCACACCCATATTGATTTAAAACTTTTTCAGTGACACTTTGTATTAAGTGTAATCTTGCAGTTGTCAGTTCTGATTCTTTATCTTGAAGTGATTTCAAACTAAAAACCTTGTTATGTGATAAAATTTTTCCAAAGTCACATTTACAATTTACAGCTGCTTTGATTGAATTTTCTATTAGAGGTGTACGTTGTAAAAATAAACAGACTCTCTCTTTCTCCAGCAGAGATTTTTCTATTTTCATTGACCAATTATTAGTAAATGATATTAACAACTGTAATACCTATGAAAGTCAATATTTCACTTTTAGAATTAGGTTATGTTTGCTCCTTTGTATTGATATTTTTTATATCACATTTTACCTGATTTGCAATATCTGCACCGGTTTTGTTATCTGTATCATTGTTACGTACATGCAGAAAGTGTTGCAAAATTGTTGCACATGTTCCATTACATTTCTCTGTGCATTTCAAAGCCCTTGCCCATACTTTAAGGCTAGGTGAAAAATGTAAATCACCATTTGTTGCTAAATTGTCATTGTTCACTTTGACAATTGAAATATTCTTACAAACATTTCCACTTAAGTATGATGTTATCCTGTTTATAAGTGCCTCTATGCAAATAGGTGATATACTCTCCATTTGAAACTCTATATGATTCTTGCTACAATATGAAGCAGTTCAAAACTGGTTTCACTAGTGAAACTGAAGTATTCCCAGTTGACATCCATTGCAGTCATTGGAACAATTTCAAAAACCAGCACATTCTGTGACCAAAATGCAAAATCTTCCATAATGGTTAATGTAAAGCATTAAAAAGTCACAGATTTGTCATTTTATTATAATTAAATACAGGAGGTAAACATCAGTCATTAGGGAAATAAATAAAATCATCAAGACAGCGTTTTCCCATGATTTCTTTATTAGAGTCACAAGCCGAATTGTGCAAATAAGTGATTGTAAATATTAACATTAATATAATATCCGCTATACTTAGGATACACGTATATCTTACAAAGTCATCACAAAAAACAATTTTCTATATAAGCGTATCTAGACTGACGATCGATCGTTAAGTAAATTTACTCGGCCATAGTATCATAATTAAATCCTATAATTTACATCGTTCTCTTTGATATCGATTATCACACAGAGTGGTGGTACTTCACGTATGCTATCGCGGCCAGTTCCTTGCAGAACTCCTCCGTCACGATCACACTTTCGAGCAGGATATTCTCCTTTTCTCTAAAACAGAAGAAAAAAACAAAGAACCATAACAGACTCGATATTCCTGAATGAACGAACGATATCCATCTATCCCCGTCTACCTTACCCGTCGTGAGAACAGTCCTCGAGCAATCTTTCTCGCGTCTCCTTCAACATTTGCTTGTGATCCGGCGTCTTTGGTACCTCGTTCACCAGCTGCTTGACGACTTTTTGCAAGCAGGTGAACAAGTTCTTTGTGCCGGGTGCCAACGGTAATAGAGGATTCAGTAAAAATTCATGCAGGTACGGATGAGGTAAAAGCGCCAGCCTCGAGATCACCACAGTCAACTGCAGGTTGATCTCGTACTTTTGCTTCGGAATACCGGCCACCTTGTCGAAGAGCATCGTCATGAACGGGCCCATGTAGAACCTAACAGAACAGTGGTCAGCTTCTGGCCTGGAGTCGGAACTTGCTGAATCGTCCACGCTCACAGCTTCAAGCGGCCAGGCCATCAACGCGCAGTCGGTCAACACGGTTGAATATTGCCTTTCCAGGTCAGCCATGTATCGTTCATAATTGTTCACGTCCGTGTCTGTTTGTAGATAACGCGGAATCAGCGACAGGAAACTGAAACGTTTAATACCGAGGTAAAAACTGTGCAAAAACTTGTGTATTATGTTTTTCATGTAAACTCTATTCTATGAAAGTGAAACTAAATAGGTGTTGTAGAATGTTTTCAATATATATGTATGTACACGAATAAACTTAGTCAACACAGCTGTGTCTTATTCAAACGACTGATTTACGGTCTTCTATTGACTAAGTGTTTTTGTGTCGTTTCTTTCAACAACCATGAATCGTTCCACCGCTTTCTTTTCACGCTCCGTATTTTCAAGCGATACAAGCTGCTTTTTCAGAATGTTTTTCAGCGTGAAACGTTTCATAGGTGAGATGAAGTATGGCTTTTTTTGTTTGTCTTTGGTAGAGTGCTTACCAATTTACAATTCTATGAATATTACTAGGCGCTAGCGTTCGACTGTGACTTTGCTCGTAGGACAAGTCTAGCGCACCCTTCTTTTCTCTCTCTCTCTCGTCTTCCTCGTCGCTCCACGATGTAATCGCGCTATCGGCCGCGGTGTTATCGTAATAACCGCGCGTTGATAAATATACCAATACGAGACAGTGCAATATGTGCTCGTTCCTTTTCTCTACCATTTCTTCGAACAGTTTCAACGTTTCCAAGGTTAGATCGTCGCTGTCCGTTAAACAATTGTCTATCAGCCTGTGTAATACAGGTGACGTCCACACGTCCGGTATCTCTGGGCCTCTGTCTTGTCCCACGAGCCAGTAACTTATTTCTGAAACGAATTTCACTGTTATGCAAAATAATTCCGAAAGGAGTTCGACAGATTTCCGGAAAAAATCACTTTAAGTAAGAGTAAAATGTCGTATAAAAATAGTGCATAAATACTTCATTGAAAAGTTGTAAGAAAAATATGAAATATGGAGGACTTAGTTCGATAATAATGTCGAGGAGGACCTTACAACTCTAAATTTTTACTCATGGAGGTTTACAAGAAAAAAAAAAAGTTGGAATACGGAAGCGCGTCCTCGAAATTAGATAAAATTTTGTCCCCAATAAATTCAATATTAAATTCATAAAAGCGAGCGAAACTTAGGTGTTTACTTCGCGTTTAATTTTTTTCGTTAGATTATCAACTTGTTCGATAAATTTATAGACTCTCTTTTATCCGACACTTGAGTCTTATTTTTACCCGCAGAGCTGATGAATATTCAAAAATTCGTTAGCTCAGATTTGTCACCGCTCGAGAACAGTCGTGTACACACCTACACACAGGGACGTGGACGTGAGTTCCTTCAGGCATTTCGTAATTAATGCTGTGATCAGAACAACGTGATGCTCAGCCAATGCTGGCGTCACTATTTTCTCCAGGAAATTTATTCTGATACTCTTGGCCAGTCCGTCGGCCACCGCCGGATGTGCTTCTCTAATCAGCTGATTGCAGTAATCGAACCACATGAAAAACGCAGCGACCTGCCTGCAACCGGAGAACTTCTTCTCTTTCGTCCACGCCGGCGAATCCAGGCCCCATGTGACGTCCACGCCGTCGATTTCTGTCGGATCGACGTGCGCTGGAATGGCGTTGAAAAGATTCTCTAATCTATTCGGTATCAGGATCATCAACTCGCTGTTCGCTATCATTTGGGCGAACGACGGATCCTCCAGGGACGCGAGAACCATGATACCCTCGCAGGCTTTTATCCTCACTGTATTGTCCTGGAAAGGGTGAAAAAAAAATAAACAAACAGATTTAACCGTTTAACTATTCTCTCTGTCGAAAAGAAATTCGGCTTTTTATTTCATTGGTTATTTCATTTTCTCGTGATTGAAACTTGACAATGAGAGAAATTAGCATTATTCTAAGTGATTTTCAAGTTCCTAAGACTTTCTACAGTCGCATGTTCGACTCTTGAAATTTTGAATAAATAAACTCGGTGGAATCTTTTATTTTTTTTTATTTTTCTGAGATATCTCTCGAATGAAAGCGAAGAAAAAATCATTGAGATTCAAAATCTTAGGTTTCACAATTCTCGTTTGAATTTCTAACATCGAGTCAAATTTAGAATTCAGATTTAAAATCCTCTCCTTGCCCGCCAATTTCAAATCAAAATCACCTACCATCTACAACCCATAATCACACTAATATCGAAGCCCCTCGCTTACCGCGGTATTTATGTAACTCAACAAGGCATCTAACAGAAGGCATTTCGATTTCTGCGGTGTCTTCGGTCTCGTCGAACTCTCATCCCTATCTACTCTACCCGACTCCTCGTAACCACCTTCATACTCCACGTCCAACCTCAGATCCTGCAGATTCTGCAGATGCGTGTCTATCTCGTTCATCATAGCCGCATCGTCAGCCTTCTGCGAGGCGTCGTCCTCCTGAGAATCAGAAGGTTGTTCCGTAACGCGCGAACTCTCGTCGCAAATCGGTTTCTGAGTCGCTGGACTCGAGGACTGCGAGACGTTCTCCACTTCCCTCAGAGACACCGATCCGTTCGATTGACTAGATGATCCACGCGTAGTGTCAGCCTTACTAGACGGTCTATTCGACCCGACAGACCGTCTTCTATCGTTATCAGAGTTAAATAAATTAGGATTTATAAGCGTGACCGCCTGAGTGTCCAGAGGTTCGAACAAAGGATTAACGTTGTTCTTCCTTCTGGCCGGTATATAGGTAACCTTCTCCACTTCCTGCCTCTCAGAGTTCTTCCCAGCAGACGTGTTCTGCCTCTGTACAACAGGAGCGTCGTTTATGATGTTGGTCACGTGGGGGTACTTGCAGACCAGGAAGCAAAGCGTGAGGAGAAACTGGACCTCCTCAGCCTCCATGGGCGACGGTGGGTTTCCATTGCAAAGAGCGATCAGTCGTTGCACCGGTCCGTAGATGGACGTGTGGTGCAACAGGGGATACTTCGATCTTCCCAGTAGTTTCCTCAAAAAGGACAGACAAACTGTCCTCATTCCGGGTGGAGTTTCAGCGCTGGCCAGTGTAGCCAGTAGGTCCAGCAATTTGTGCTGCAACAGGTACTCCAAACACGGTCCTGGTTCGTTTTCATCTTTCTCCTCTTCGAGCAGGATCTCCAGTAATCTGTCCAAGTGTCTCGGTATGCCTGTGGTTTGTATGGGTACTTTGCAGTCGGTCAAATGGTTCACATAGAAGTTCATAAGCTGTTTCCAGTGATAGGTGAAGTCTTGCAACGGCGTGGCAGGCGGTGCTATCTGCAACGGAACGATTTAAATCGATCAGTAACGTTCGAAACGTCGAGGGGAATCGAAATGGCGCGCAGAGATCGTATTACGTCTTTCGAGTCGTCGCGGAGAAAAATCAAGTAATACGCGAAACACGGTAGATTATTAAATGCACACATGTTAATAAGCCGCGATTACAAGTTGTCCTCAGTTGCACCTTCGAATAATTACATAACCGGCTAAATATAACGACGTACATGTTCAGCCGATTACACGACATCGATGTGTGTACGGTTCGAGTGGAAACGAACGCGTGTTGCGTGAAAAAAAAAACTGTTTGTTTGGCTGTCGCGCGTGGGCGGCAACCGTGGCTCGTTTAAATCAGGCGAATACGAGAAAAAAACACGGCGTGACGGGAGAAAAAAATGTTCACCGCCGTTGAAAACGGTTGGCTTGTTAAAACGAAGGATATACAGATCGATAGATAGAGAACGTAAATAAATACAATGGCACGTGTGACGGTGTGCGGTGTTTGAACGTGGAATAACCGTCGTACGCGATGCGGGGGATATATGTTACACACCGTGCAGCGCTACGATCGATGGACACCACACTGCCTCGAATGTTCCTCGCCTTGTTTTTTCCCGCTTCTCTTTAAGACACGAGGCGTAACGTAAACGGATATAAGCGTGTCTCTGCGATGAATTGAACAGAGAACACGTTTGCACCAGTGGTGCGAGCGAGAGGAAGAAAACCATCGACGATAACGACGTAGAATAGCAGGGTTATCACTCACCACATCAATGGCATTCTTCAACGCGATTTGAATGCCACTAATCATCTTAACGCACAGTCCGATCTTCATCCACGATTATTTCTCGCTATGCACGCGCCTTTCCACCGTTCCTCGCGCGATTCTCGCCTGCTTCTGCATAATTTCTCATTGTATCGCTCGCGTATCACCGTGCAATCGGTCACCGAAACTTTGCGACTTTGACGTCTTTTGTTTCGTGCCATCCACCGACAGGTGGAGGCGTTGTCGTAGATTATGGCGTTATGACGTAAACGCGACAGTTGAAAGGAGAATATGAATCGTGTTTTTCATGGTCCATCGAACGAATTTCGAGAGGATTGTCCGAACAGGCTTGTTTGGAAGAGTGTACGAATTAAAACGAGAGAGATTTTTAGGTGTAGGAGGTTGGAATTGGGGAAAATCAGTGGAAATGAACGTTATTCGTTGCCCTCTAGTGGTGCGCGCGCAAAGTGTCGACGCAATAAGTGCACTTTGGTTAGAATTGTCTGACGTCGAGGAGATAAATAAAGTGAAGTTATGGATTTAAATTGATCCGGTCGTTTAATTGCCTCTAATTTGTTTATTCGAGTTGAAATAACGAGGTAAAACTGTTTTTAGCTATACGAAAGATACGAAAGTGTATTCATGACTTCTATTTATACGAAATCGAACTGACGGTTGTAAATATTTAAACGCGCGATATATTGGTTAGAATTCCATTATCTTCGGTATTTTTCCTATTGCAAAATCCAGTTCTTCTTGGATAATTGAGGTCGATGGATGCGATTATAGATAAGATTGCGAGATATTTACTTCAGTATATCACTGAAACGTTCAACTATTAAGAATATTTATTTATATTACTTCAAACGTCTACCAGTACGATTATTCTACAATAACACTATTCAACGACAAAACGATCGAGAACTTTATTCAACCGTAAGACAATTCAAAGAGACCTAAAAAAAACTTCTTCCACAGTTTTTACACGCGAATTTCCATAATAATATCTTTGTCCTTGATTCGCCTTGTTTTTTTTTTTTTTTTTTTTTTTTTTTTTTTTTTTTTTAATACCCTATCGTTTTAACAACTAGCTTATCTTTATTGCACGCTTCCGCATACAATTACAGCTCTTCCTCGTCTCTCGAATACCTCGAAACACCAGAAAACGAAAAAAAGAACTGCGTCATATCAAAAATACCATCTCGTAATATTATCAAGCGAACCCCACCGTGGTACGGTATACGCGTTGGCACGTCGATCGTGGAAAAACAGGATTTACGATGACTTTTATTTTGCACCTTTTAACGTGTACACATCTCGACAACATCGACCAGTTTCGTGATTGTGGAAAATAAAAAGTCGTGACGCTCTGAAAATATTCTATCGTTGACGATCTACAATACGAAACAATTTTCAAATAATATCCCATCTTCTCCCGTAACGTCTTAAATTCGATCAGCAGCCAGATCGCAACCTAGGATACAAGTAATTCGATACTCAAGAAAAAAAAGACAAAAAATAGGAATCTGAGTGTGTGTCCGTACTTTTACCACGTATTTTTCTTTCTCTTTTTTCTCAATTCGTTTTATTCTCGTTAATACTCCTCTCTCTCTCTTCAGTAAAATACACGCCACGACGCGCGCGCGCTCAGCGCGGTGTGTCGACGTTTCGTGCGCTAAAATCGATCCTCGCGCACGTGCATCCTCGTGATCTAGCGCAAAGTTTGTCGCGGACTCGCGGGGCTCTCTCTACTCACCGCCTTCAGTCTCAACAGTCGTCGCAGCATCGATGACGGTTTTTCGCGCCTACCGAACAAAATTACAGATCGTGGCCTAGGCACGTGGGCAAACATCGACCTTCTCCGTTCCACCGTCGACAGGTGTGCGCGATTTTTATCGGTCCGCGCCGCGAGGTCTTATCGTAGTGACGACGAAAATGAAGTACATACATAGTTAATGGTTTTGCGTCGATACCGACTCGACCACGTCTCCTCCTCGCTTCAAACGAGCACATTCGACCAATAGTTCTTCCGTGTTTCGTAACTTCGGGAACGCGAGATGAATGAGAATATCGAGAGGTAGAAACGTCACGTACCAGTCGAGGAGGAAACGTTTCAATACACACAGATATAGATGGAGAAACGAATAGTTTTTTCTGTGAATAGTTGGAGAATAGTTTTTTTCTTTTGCAGACGTTTCGAGTTACGGGATCAGTTTGTTTCGGGTACACTCTTGTTCATAAGTCATCGGTGAGGATCAATTTGTGTTAGAGTTAGGAAACGAAAGAGGTAGCTTGATAAATATTTTCTTTTCTGTTAGCGAGCGACTTATGAACAGGATTGGGTAGGTTTTTTAAGGATATTTTTGAAGTGGAATTTTGAGCGAATTTTCAAGAATTATTACATTCACTTTTGAGTAATGTTAACATTTTTTTTCTTTCGATCTAAATGATTTTAATGGGTCAACGGTGAATTTTCAAGAGTTGATTAACTTTTGAGCAATAGTAATAGAATTTTTCGATATATATTTTGCACTAGTTTTTCGGCTCACGAGTTTCCAATTATATTGAAGAATTTTTGGTATTTTCGTCGGGACTATTCAACGCACTATCGTTCTCCATCGATCTCTGTACCTCGAAGAACGATTTAACCCTCGCTCAGCCAATGCCGGGTCATTTTTGACCCATGTCTTAACGTCTCTGCTCGTTCGCTGGGCTCGATCTTATCGCTGTGACATAAGCAGATGACCGCGTGGAGAGTTCTAACGTCTTTAGCCAGACAGTATTGTATACAACAGCGAGAAGAATAACTATGCGTAAAAATACAGCTCGAAATGTATAACGTGCCTGAGATATATCGTGTACAATTTAATGTACACAATGTACATAAATAAAAGTAAATAATATATTTATATTTTTCGTTCTAAGATTTTTTCTTATAGGATGATATTTATTACCTAGAGATTAGTTCCGAAATACATTTAGTAAAAATTCCAGTATGGGTCAAAAGAGACCCGGCGTTGGCGTGTCGCGTCACTGTTTTCCGGTTGGCTGTTCGAGGGTTAACCGTCGACGCGAGGGAACAACAATGAAACAGTTGTCGCGACTCGAATTTCGTTAACGTAATCAGTCACACTCATTCATGTACACACTAACATGCACTGTTTTTGTTTTTTCTTTCTTTGTTTTCTTCCCTATTATCTTCCTTAGTGTGCAGGTTGTGTATAGCTTAGCTACAAACATTGGAACGGTCTTCGAGCGATCGTTTCTCGAGACAATGCTAGAAAATCGTTAATTGCAATTTGAACAAGAGGAACGTCGAAAGAAAAAAAAAGAAATACACAAAAAGTCGAACATGTTGAGCGCGACCGTGGCCTATAAATCTAAAAATACTTCAAACCGCCTAAATCCCTTAAAACGCTACTATTTCGGTCTAATGAACTGTTGCAAAACACACTTTCGCTAATATCTGCCCGTAATTTTCCTCCACTTTCTCTCATTTCTCTCGTTAATCCCATTTACACGCACCTTCATTCTCGCTTCTTTCACGCGTTCTCTCTCTCTCTCGCTCGTCACTCTGTGCAACTGCCGTTCAAATCACGCTCTCTAAACGTTAACAATAAGATTACTCGTAGGATTAACAACGACGATACAAATAATTTATAAATCGCTCTATGTGAACCAAACGATCCGTTCCTTCCCTTTTCATCGTTTTCTTCCTCTTCCCTGAAGACGTCGAAGAGCAGCCATGAAAAAAGATAGAAGAAGCTGGTTCACAGTAAATCCACGAACCAGTCGCAGATTTATGATTCTTCTCGTCGGAAGGAACATCGAGATCCGATCGTATTTACTATGAATAATTCGCGATGTTGATAGTTAGCCGTAAACTCTCACCTAGCC